AATATAGCTATTTTTAGCATCTGGTCTATATAAAAATGAATCACTTTTTTGGATAGCACTTTTTTGGACAATACATGATTTGATTCATTTTCAAAACAAAGGACCGATTTTTATACAAATCATTTTTGATTAAAATGTTATTTTTGAATACACTAAAAAATTTTCCCTTTACCTTCCCCCCCCCTTTGAAATCAAATAAAGAAAATGCAATGTCTCTGGAATTACAATACTTCTTTCATTTTTATTTATATAATAATTTTCACTTTTAGACTGCTAAACCTGTATACCATTAATGAAGCTGGAAAAGTGACAGCTAAGTAGAGTATATGCAGCAGTATTTTCAAAAAGCAGAAGCTACTTATAAATTTAACAAAAAAATGTTTTCAGTTTACAACTGAAAAAATTCACTTGAAATACACAGCAGAAGGTTTTACAATTTATTGAAATAGTTTATGCTTTCATTTTTTGTAGAATAGTTTTTTTAGTGTTTTTACTACATTGAAAATTTTAATTTATATAATCCATGAATAAATAATGATATCGTTTCGACAAAGATTTTTCATAGCTCACTATTCATGCATATGATGTATTCATATAGTTTGTTTATATCATAATATATATATTTATAAGAATAGTTTGCCTTTACAAACAAAATGTGTTCCTAATAATAATTTATAAAGTGGGTAAAGTACACTGCAACTTCAAATTCCAGTTTTGCCAATGACATAGTATTTCCCCATGGTAACATCATTTTGTGGATGTAAGTATTCTCTTCTGATACATAAAAATCAACCACACACTTTTCAAACCCATTTGATATTCCAGACTGTAACATCTTTCTTATTAGAAGATATCCTATTTTAAAGGACAGCAGAAAACTCCAATAATGATATAGTCTGTCTATCATAAAAAAGCTCTCAGCAGTTAGTCTTCAGCTGTCTATTGCTGAAGAAATGAGCCTTGACCCATTTTCCATAGGAGTGTCTTGAAGACGAATGATAACTCTTTTCTCCTCAGCCAAAAGTCACCAAAAACAAAATAATAAAACAACCCTTGGGTCAGCTCTCTATTTGAAATATATTAGCCTTGTTGCTATAGTGACTGCCACTGTGACAGGAGCTGTTCTTCTCATAGACAGACAGTACCTTAAGCAACAAGAAGAATGAGTATCTCATGATTTTTGGCTACATAAAGTAGGCTACTACAACATTCAGGAATACAAAGTGAATACTACATAAGGAAATACCACTGCTGTCAAAAGAAAATATGTCAGCATCATACAGGCGTGAAACAAAATCAACATGACTCCAAGGAATTTCAGACTAAAATGTTATCCACTATAAAAAGTAAGCAAGTGTTATTTTATTACCTCAGTGAGACTACTTAAAAGAGGCCAGAGAATTACACATAATTCATTTGCAGGCATTAAAGGTTTCTGCACTTAACAAGTTAAAATGTTTCCAATTGTTCTACTTTTCTTTAAATGAACCGTCTTTGCATAAATTGCATCTATAAAATTGAGATTAAGCTTCAGTTAATGGCACATCAGCACCTTTTCATAAAATTTTTTGGCTTACAAAAATGCAATTTTATAAACTCTTAAATATGATCATAAATTAATAGCTACTAACATTTTCTTTCAACAAGCTATCAATTCATGCTGGCTGCTATCAATTCATGCTGGTTGCATATGTAAAGCATCAAGACATACACTGAGGTACTTTCACTGCATTTAAACAACATAACTATCCATTTATACCCTATAAAAATAACTATTATGGCTGAGAAACATAAAAATTTACCATTAAAATAATATCAAATTTAATTCTGAATGCATTCCAAGTGAAATTCACAAAAGCTTTTTATGGCAATACTTCACAAAATGTATGCAATGGAAAATCAAAATTTTGTTGCTCATTTAACTATCAAAACTTTGCTTTAAAAATTGACTACTTATGTTAACTTACTACATCAACTAAAATCGTTCCTCTCTTTCCTCCAGGGGCCAACTAATGTGCTGGCAAAGATCTGTACTATGGCAGCCACAGCACCAGGTATATAAATATGCAGAGCCACTTCCTGGTATCCAAAGGAGCAATCAGTACTGTCATGAAGGGAAGGGGCACAATGGCTGGTCTTTCTTTGACTCTTCACTCTGTACCCAGCATGGTGTGTTGAGCCTTGCAAGCCCACAACTCCTGCCTGACATAGAGTGTAACAATTGGTTAAGCTTGTACTGCATCCTTAAATGAGATGTGGAAGAAGTATGCCTATAACTAGTTATGGTACTTTTCCATTTTGCCAGCGCAAGTGATAAAGTCGCCAAAAATGGTACAACCGAAGCCAAACAGAATATCCTCGCTGGTAACCTTTTACGCCTCATTTTCAAAACAAGTCGTAGCCATTTCTTATCAGATTGATTGTTTCTTTCAATAGTGGCATACAATTACATAGAATTTTTACCAGAAGTTTAATTTTATCCACTAAGGGCATCGTGATAATTAGTCAATTGAATGCACACATTGATATCCGAAAGCGAAGAAAATATAGAAAATGACAAAGATCGAGGTTACAATAATCAGTTCTAATGAGAATGCATTGCGGTGTTAATAATTCTGAGTAAGCTATCGTACGAATTGAAATAATTATTACATTTAAATTGTATCCAACATTAAGATTAATTGAAATTAATGTAGAGAATTACTGAAATAAATGATTTTTGTAATTAGTTTACAATGGATGAGACATTTGGGATACGTGAAACGGAGAGAGAATCGGATGTTGACATGAAACTAGTAAATTTAAATTAATTCTTTTTACAATTACGTTTATTATTGTCTTTACAAAATTTAAACGATATTAAAAGTTGATGCTTCAAAAAAAATTTAGAACTACATTTGTTAACATTTTTTATGTGTATACTGTGTGTTGTCGCCATTAAAGTCTGCTTGGAGAGATCTGCGCCGGCGAAACGGAAAAGTACCCTAGTTACTTCAACTGGATATGAAAGGCAATGGCTGAAGATTCCCAAAATGGGAAATCATGTCATTTGCAAGAAAACTCTGAATTCAAATTCTGAACTGGTCACTCTTCAAATTTCAGAATTCAAAATGAAAAACAAAAATCCTTGGAAAACTTGAGGTTTTAAAAAACAAAACATATCTGCTCACTTGACAAATTACAAATTCCCAAATCTGAAAGTTTTTTTTTTTTTTTTTTTAACTTTACTCTCCAAATTGTGTGAGTAAACTACAGCCTCTTGATGAAGGAATAATCATGTTATTTAAAATGAAGTATCAGAAGAATGCTAAATGATTTGGTAAGACAATCTCAAATGCAGTTTGATTTGGGGGGGAGACAATGAATGATTTGGAAACAAAATCTCAGTGCTTTTGATATGATGAGATTTCATGAAGACTTGGGGAATAAATAACATCAAGCAATCAGCAACTGCTTTATTTAAAAAAAGGTTGGTTCCATAAAAGGTGCAACTGCATGTTGTCTAATGTCTTCACATAGATTAGAACTCCCCTATATCTGGTGGTAAGTTCAGGTTTCGCAGGGATTGTACTGATACTGTCTTGTCTGTAACCTTGGTTACGGGATGTGCATGTGGATATTAAAGGCTGTCCAGGGAAACGTTAGCCACACGGTCAAGGCTTGGCTATGGATGATGGCAACGTGTAATGATGGCAACAGACCAATGAGGGAATCCAGTTAATAGATTATATTGATCGATATTATGTTATTTGTGTAACTACAGGGATTTATTATGATCATTAGCTTTTGTTTCTAGTGTACACTACTGTGGACAGGCAGAGAATTAGAAATAATTCTATAGCAGAAATATATTACAGATGACAATGGAATTTGGAAATGGTACTTCCAAATTGCCTTGATACTCAAATATCCTTGACACACAACGTATTTGAGTGCTGCCCTGGCCTGCATGGTCATCAGATCTGTCACCCATTGAGACATCTGGTCATATTTTACTGAGTGATTGGCCCCTTCTCCAGCTAATATGATTGATGAAGTGTGGCACAGACTTGAAGCAGCATTTAATGAGTCACTCGTTACCGTCATCCAAGACCAGTTCGACTCCATGCCTAATCAGATAAGGGCCATTTTAGATGTCAAGGGTGGCAGCTGTTTTTACTAATTTCACACCCCTGGAAACCCCCAAACTGCTTACAATTTTAGTCATTTTATCGTCATGCCATACTGTTTACTTGCAATAAATATCTTTTTTGTATTTTCTTTCTTTCGTGGTGCTGCAATTTTAATGGCCAGTAGTGTATTTAGTAAGGAAAATTTAGTTACAGCAATTTTTATTTAATTGCTAAAAAAAATTCTCACCTATCAGTTATTTTTAGATAATGCATTCAGCCTGCACGAAATTTGAGTTTGAGAACACTGCTCTATACAATAAACTACATTAGCATATAAAAACTCTTAACATATACAGCTTTGAAATCATATTATTGTATGCGTCATATTTTTATGCACTATTTACAGATACACCATTATTCTCTGTAAATTAATGACCACTCAATTTTGAATCCAGAAATTATTAATCTGTTACACCTTTAATTCTTTATACAGATGGTCATTCATATTATAAAAAAGAAGAAATACATAAATTCATACCATTATAAGCCATAACATTCATGCAAAGTAAGGGCAGCACAATAAATGACTATTTTTTTATATATATACCATGTTAAGTGGTACTGTTGCAGTACCACTTAACATGTTCAAATATGATTATATATTCAACACCAGAGTCATTGCTTTATTATATGATCACATACTATGTTTTGTTTCAGTATTTTTTTCCTCTTTCTTTTTGAGAAATTTGAAAAAAGCTATTTGTTTTCTCAATTTTGAACATTGCTATGATTATATATTATATATTTATATATATAAAAAAGAGAGAGATACTAAATATATATCCTTCAGTTTTCACAATATAAATATAATGCTGAAATGTCACTCACAGCTTTCAATTTCAACAGTGCAATTTTGAGAATCCAGTGGATAATAATGCAGATCCATCATGCAAGCAAGAGTGGTAGTAAATCTATATCACAAAGACATATTTTAAAAACTTATGAAAGCGTAAATATTCCTTATTACTAATATTTACAGTAAAAGCACTTATTTTTATACCTTAAAGAATTTTTAATTGCATACAGAAAACATTTTTTTACAAAAACTTTTAACATTAATACATAATGCTTTTTACCTCATTCCATATTTTATTTTGCCATCGGAGGCCAGTCTGACCATTTTATTTTTCTCTGTAACATCATGAAGAAAGGAATTTTTATCATTGGCAAAAAATGTATCTGGGACCCAAATTTTTGCAGCAAATTCCCCAGAAAGAGTAAGTTCATATGATTCAGAACTAAAAGCCAATCTTTCATCTTGCCAGTATTGATTCAAATAAAGGGTAAGAGTATAGTCCTGAAACAACAGAAATAATAATGCATACATAAATGTCATCATTTAAAATTTTAAAAAATGTTAATTTTATTATCATAGCTGAAAATGAAAGCTTTTCAAAGGTCAGTGAAAAAGTAAATAAAGACATCAAGAGATGTCATCAGCAGCTCAGTTATCAAAGAAAACTTATTACGTGTATGGAGATAACCAAAAACGTACAATGATGTAGAATCAATCAAAAACAGAACATAATTTTGCTACATAAATGTGAATCACGTTAATAAAACTTCAGAAACAAAATACAGCAGAAACTTGATTATCCATCATTTTTTTACCCATCCATTTCTATTATCGATTAGCCACTCATAATCCAGTAATCAAAAGAAACACACGCAATCACCCAGTAAAAAATTGCATACAAATTTTGCAAAAAAATCATAACAGGCAATATTATCAAAAAATATGTAAATCAAAAATTGCTTTGCCACTGTATTTAGAATAAAAGAATAAAATGAGTACTGTCCTCTCATATGAAACAATACAAAAATATATCAATTCTATGATTATGGAATCTGTTCTATATAAAAGTGTAATTTGTAATCTAATTGGAAAGTTAACAAAGGTCTATACAATCATGTTCTAGCGATACACTCAGATATCCTGTACATTTTAAATGTATGCTATTTAATCATTCAACACCTTTAGTTAACAAAGAATTTTTTTTCATAAAAGATTGTTTACTGCTTTTTTAACAAAGATTTTCAGCTACTGCTATAGTTTAAAAATACAGTACATTTCAATTAAAATTATAAATCTTTTGAAAAATAAAAGACAGTCAGTATTTATTTAGTGGTGATTTCAGCCTGGGTTCTATTTCAAACATTATGGTATTACTGTTCAGAACAGCAATTAAGCCAAGTAGCTGTAATGGTCACCAGTTTTCAAATTAAACTAGTTTTTATCTTTACTCTATTACAAAGTATGCTAAAAATGGAATACCATTATTGACAGCCTGCACTAGCAGTTGGTGATCGAAGGAGTTTCTATAATTCTTCTATTCTGCCATCTGACGTTATAACAGTCCCAAGACAGTAAAAGTTCAACTGCCCTCATGTCCGCAAATTAAGAATAATGCCAGCTCTGGCAAATAAAGGTTCAGAAACAAAACAAACATGATTTATTCATAAAGCCCATTTATTAAACAAAAGATAAAGAACAAAAATGATAGTATATGTATGATATCATTCATAAATACTATGATTTTTGCTCGGAGCAATTACAAAAGATATCTCCTGAACAAACACTTAAAATTATATGGTTGGTATGATGGTTAATGCATTGTGTGATTCCCAGATGATGAAATACAGTCTGTTCAATGCCTAGACATGCTGAGTATCAAATTATCGAGCTGATCTTGGGGAAGGTTACTCCACTTAGCAAGGAATGCTCTTTGAAATTCTGGTACACATGTAGGAGATGCTTGACGGGTTACAATTCATCTCCAAGCATGTCCCACACATGCTCTATCAGATTCAAGTCGGGTGAGAATTCTGGCCATACAGGGAATACGGGTGATATCCTTAGATTGAAGGCATTCCTTTACAATGTTTGCAAAGTGAGGATGAGCATTATCATCCATAAACACAAATTCTATTCTCATGGCAAACCTAAGCATATGTATATGTTGTTCCAGAATGATGTCCCAATAAATTTGGTCTGTCATGGTTCCGATTAGAACATGCAGATCTATTCTGCAGCCGAGTATAATTCCACCCCAAATGAGCAATCTCACACCACCATAGTGGTGTTGTTCAGTGATGTTGTCTCAGTGTTAGCAGGTAATCCAGAGTTCTCCATATGAAAGTCTGGCATGAATCAGACTGCAAGCTAAACCTGGACTCAGCAGAAAACATCACACAAGCCAACTGTGATGATGTCCACAATGCATGTTCTCTACTCCAGGCTAACTGCTGGCAACAGTGAGTTGCCATGAGCAGAACACATCTGTCAGGCCTGCAAGCATATAAATCAATCTGTTCCAAACGTTTATACACGGTTTGCCTTGAAACTGTCATACCCGTGGCTGAAGATGGCTAACGAGACAGGTCGGATGCTGTGCTCCGTCTGCTTCTTTTGGCAGTTATTGCCAAATACTGGTCATCATCCAGCATTGTAACTTGGGGACAACCTATACTGTAACATCTACTGACATTTTCATCATTTTGGAATCACTGCCCAAGCCTAGAGATGATACTGTGGGCTATTCCAAGTTCCTTGGATACTTCCATCTGAGTACACCCACATTCCAAGTGGCTGATAATTCTACCACGTAAAAAATCATCTCCATTCTTCCTCTGTGTCATAACTATTCGTTTGTGGCACTGAGTGGCATAGAATGCTTGTGAACAGTTTTACTTCTTTGTTACCATTCCTTATAGACACTTCTCTTACACTCTCATGATTGTGAGGTACTATCAGTGTCATCTGATGGCTTCCTGTAATTTGCATATTATTCTTGAAGATGTCTGCAATAATTCTACAGGTGAAATTTTTACTTTAGAGTTCGATTTCCATGTGATTCTCAATTATCTTTAATTAATGGACATGAGGGTATATTAATCAACATATATAAAAGGAATTATATCATTTAATACATATATGCGAGATTTATTTTTATTTCCCAACCACTATTATTAAATGCACATATATTGTTCAGCCAACAGATCAGCCATTTCAAGCATGATTCATTTGTTTTAATGAGCAGCAAGTAATGGCTGACTATATACTGACTATAACTTAGTTATAAAGTCAAAATAACTGCAACTTTGATACACCTTGAAAAGCAAATTACAGTATAATAATCAAAATCTATGAAATTATAAAATATTTTTCTGATTATGAAAGCCAATCATAATTATATCTACTCTGTGCTAACTACACTCTAAATAATTAAAAGAGATTACATGACTGACATGGAATATACTATTTACTACACAGCAGCAGAATACATTGTTGCTGTCAAAACAATAACAGCATATTTTACCAACTGTAAAAGCAGATTTTTAGGCATTTGAAGACTGTATACCTATATGAAACATAAACACTGTAATGTAATAATTCTCTGAAATATGCAAAATTTTAACTTTCTCCCTATCTGCTAACTGGCACCACAATATAAGGACACGCATGCATGTATATTAAATTAATTTCTAAAATCACAGTTAACAATTTTACAAATAAATTACAAGGAAAAACTTTGAAAAAAAATTTCCACCATTTCTGTTTCCTTTGTTGATCCTATTTAAATCCATTTTCATAACATTAGAGTAATAACAAGAATAAATTACCTAATATGAAAAAAAAACACAAGCAATTTTGAAAAAAAAAACATGCCTTATTACTAAATAAGTTAGTAATAAGCCATGTCTTATTATTAAAATTATTTTTCACAACTTCAGGCTTAAAGTCAGAATTTTAGTAGAGAATTATTTAACAATAATAAACATACTTAATATGTAGCAAGAAAACCAACATGAACTATCAATCTCCAAAGATAGTTCTTCATTTAGTTTATAAAAATATCAGAATTTTACAGCACTTTAATTTTTGATTAAGTTAATGTTTTCACCCTTTTTATGATGCTATAGTTAAGCATTAATTTATTTTGCATGAAAAAAGCAATTTTATTCTAGTGCAGTTTATTAGAAAATGATTAATAAAAATTTATTACTAAAATGCTTAATAATATTTAACATTCCTCATATATATTTTCAGTCTTTTAAATAACACAGTAGCATAACTCAACTGACAAGCCAAGTAAGCACTGCATAATATTAATCTGATTCAATATAACTTTTACACTACAGTCCCTACAGTTTCATGCTACCAGTCCTTTAATGCTTTCGGTCCTAGTTAACAAAGCATCCTAGTCAACTAATGCATTTAAAAAGGAATTCTACTTCATCTAAATTGGGAACAAAAACTCAAATTCAAATAGCACATTAAAAACAAACACACTACGACATGTGCTCTCATAGATACATGACAGCTATTTTTATATTTTCACTTGTTAAAACAGCAGTTTCATACTCATTTCACCGAGCCAATTTATCACAATAATAAATTAAATCATTTACCTTTAAAAGTAACAAAAATAATTTTTACTTTCTTCTAAAATGCAACAACTCTGAAATTATGCATGTGTAACAAAGAAAAGGTTGGGTCATGATATAATAAACATAAAGTTAATCAAATATATGAAAACTGTTCATGAAACACCACTATGTGCAATAACTATATAAATCACAGCTTATTTGTCACAGTGAAATAAGAGAAACAATGTCTGGGGCATGCATGTCTAAGTGAGCACAAAAGGTTCCAGCCTTTTTTAAAACCGAAATGTAAATATCTGATAGACGCAGATATTACTGGCTACAGTACACAACTATTTAACAATGTTTTTTACAGTATACTTTAAGTGTAATGACTGAAATTTTTATTATGAACAAAAGATACATAACAAAACTTCAAGGAATTTAAAGAAAAGCACCTCAGTTAAAAAGACACCACATCAAGAAGTTAATTATCATAACAGTAAAAACACAATTTTATAATTTGTAATCAAGTCTATTCGTTCATGGGTGTTACGTGGAAGCATCACCAATAATATAATCTGATTGACCTTACTGGCAATAATGAAAGAATAATCTGTACTGCAGATCATGTAAAAAATTTGCAGGACTTCTAAATATCAGAAATTTTTGGGAATAATGAGAATTCCGGCATTTTATTCGTCCGAATTCCGTTTACGTATACAGGAATTCTGAAATTATTTCATGGAACAAAACTATCTAAACGGTCAGGCCATACTCAATAACAGATTTTCCCAAAATTAGCAAGACAAATGCAAGGGAATTCCTTCCACAAAACAAATATAAATATTAAATGATGGGGGAAAAGTTTCAATACTTACTTCGAATTATCCGCAATACTCAAATTCTTTGGATAAATAAATTTCGTCG